ATTACAAGCATGAGCCACACCGCACCTAGCTGAATCTAATACTCTTTAGCAACTGCCTGGCATGTTTTGTTGCAGCGTGTAACTGTGTGTAACTCATAAGACTCAAACCTGATTTAAGTTTGCGATGATTGTGCCTGTTATTCATAAAAGTCCATACGTTGTCTGATTTTCAGCTTATAGTAAATCATTTTTTGTTTTATCAACATTAATGTTAATATTGGTTAACCTATTGGCTATATTTGAAATAGAGACTTTTTCTTTGCCTTTCTTTTGTTCGTTGGAAACGGGATTTTGCTCTGTTACCCAGGTAGGAGTCCAGTGATTTTAACAGGCTCATTACAGTCTTGACCTCCTGGGCTCAAGCATTCCTCCAGCCTCTGCCCCCCACCCCCACCCCCAAGTAGCTGGGACCACAGTTGCACTCCATCACACTTGACAATTTTTTTTTTTTTTTTTAACCTTTTAAAAAGTTGAGGTCTCTCTGTGTTGCCCAGGCCGGTCTCAAACCCATGGGCTCAGGCTATCCTCCCACCTTGGTCTCGTAAAGTGCTGAGTTGACAGGCATGAGCCACCATGCCTGGCCAGTTTTATTTCTTGAATATACATGTGAAATATGATTAGCCAGCAATTTACAGTGTAGCTGTAACACACATTATTTATAGGAATTTAAGATTTACACTTGAACTATTTAAGAAAATACACGTAAGATTTGCTAAAATTTTTATGTTTCATTTTTCTGCTTTTCTTCAATCTATCTCTGAGATAAATTTCCAATATAAGAAAAAGTGATTGCTGTATTGGTGAAGGTGCATGAGTAGAGGAGAGATGGGGAGCAGCCAGGCATCACTACCTCAATTATTCATTTCATTTGTTGTTAAGAAATGACTAACATACGTTTGAAAAAGTAACAAGGACAGTTTCAAAGGTGACATACATTATGTTATTTCTCATGAGAGTAATACAGTTTCTTGGAAGTTATTGAAGTAGTTTGCATATTTACAAATATGTGGCAAAATCAGGTATTGTGGGATATTCCTGTTTGCAGTGGCTTTCTTGTCTGTCAACATAAGATTTAGATTGCCATGGATACTGTTAGTCTTGTCTGATTTCATATATACTGAATCAACGTTTACAAAGTTTCTATTTGTGAAGATTTAAAAATATTTCTCAGTATAATTTAGTCTTCTTTGCAGAGCTCTAACATAGGGCTAATGAGAACTGTTGAAAAGTTTGCAGGAATATATCTTCCATTCCCATTGCCCTAAGAACCACTGTACTTGAATGCATGATCTCTCTGTGGCACTTTTGTTTTAAGGTAATTGTCTTAGTCCATTTGGGCTGCTATAACAAAATACCTTAAACTGAGTGGTTTGTTTTTTTGTTTTTTGTTTTTTGTTTTTTGTTTTTTTTTTGGCAATAGTTTTGTTCTTGTTGCCCAGGCTGGAGTTCAGTGGCACAATCTCGGCTCACTGTAGCCTCCACCTTCTGGATTCAAGTGATTCTCCTGCCTGAGCCTCCTGAGTAGCTGGGATTACAGGCGACCACCACTATGCCCGGCTAATTTTCTGTATTTTTAGTAGACATGGGGTTTCACCATATTGGCCAATCTGGTCTTGAACTCTTGACCTCAGGTGATCCACCTGCCTTGGCCTCCCAAAGTGCCAGGTTTATAGGTGTGAGCCACCACGTCCTGCCTAGACTGGATAATTTATAAACAACAGAAAATTATTTCTCACAGTTCTGGAGGTTGGGAAGTCAGAGATCAAGCCTTCAGCAGATTCAGTGTCTGGTGAGGGCTGCTGTCTGCTTTAGAGTTGGTACTCTGAGGTACTTTGCTGTACTTCACAAAGTACAGCTGCGCCCCCACATGGCACAAGGGGAAAAGGGCTTACAAGCTTCCTGGGTCCTCTTTTATAAAGGGCATTGATCCCATTCATGAGGGCTCTGCCCTCAGAACTTAATTACCTCTCAGAGGCCTCACTTCTTAATAGTGCCATGATGAGGAATAAGTGTCAGCATGAATTTTGGAGAGGTACAAACATTCGGATGATAGAAGTAACTAACTCCCCAAATTGAGTATTTTATGTATTCCTGATTGACTTACTCAGGTACTTAATTGCTATTTGTTAGCACACTAAATTTTTAAGAATAAAAATATTACATTGTTAAAGGCACTCTATAATAAATATTAAGCAAAAAATGTTCATCAGACTTTTGGCTGGGGATATGTTGGATCTTTGTCTTTTAAAATAAGATTCTCGTTGAATGAGAAACACTTGGCTGAGTGTTTTCTTGGTTACCATTTTACAGAGTTTAGATACACTAATAGCACTGGGGCTTTCTCCTCACTAAGCAAATACTTCATCATAAAAGATTGTTGAAAGTTATACCTTTGTAATACTTGCTCAGATTTGGGAAGGAGTAGAAAAGAGGAGAGATACTTAAAAATAACAGGATATTTTTCCAATAGTGAGGTTAGAAGAGAATTTCTATTTTTTAGTATGTAACCAACACTTTTTTTTTTCAGGTAATTTTTAATTTTTTAGTTCTAATTATTATGGATACATAAGAATTATAATTATTTATGAGGTACATGTGATCTTTTGGTATAAGCATGCAATATGTAATGATCAAATGAGGATATTCACCACCTCAAGCATTTATCATTTATTTGTGTTAGGAATATTCCAGGTAATTTCATTATAGCAAAGGCGTCTCACAGTTCATACACTAATTAGGGTATGAATGAGAGCTCCAACTTCTTGAAAAGATTTCTTTGACTTTGTTGTTTTCAGGTCGGACTATGGGAGGTACATTTTGACCTTTTTTTTTAAGCTGTGGGTACAGTCCTGCTCTCTTCCTTTTCTGCTGCACCAACTCCAGTTCCCTTTACATAAACTTGCTGTATTCAGTCACCCCCTCACCAGTCATTCTGATTTTGCTTCGTAACCAAGTCACATACCCAGCACTGCTTTCCATTAGCCATCAGAAAAAGCCTTTCATCAACATTACTTCCTTTGCTAAAAAGTATTAAAAGCTTCTTCATGGCCTGAAGATAGAAAACCCTGAGTGACGGGTGGCTATTTTAAATGATCACGACAGTTCCCTATTTATTTCTTTTCTTCTCTCATCTCTCCAGCTTTATTATCTTTACACAGTTAATCACTTGATTATGCATAATATTGTTCTTGGTTTCAACTTGTATGAGAAAGTACAGCGTTTTCAATTGAACGATGTATTAGTTCGTTTTCACTCTGCTATAAAGAAATATCCAAGACTGGATAATTTATAAAGGAAAAAGGTTTGACTCACAGTTCTGCATGGCTTGGGGAGGCCTCAGGAAACTTGGCAGAAGGGGAAGCAGACACCTTTATAAGGCAGCAGGAAAGAGATGTGAGAGTGCAGGAAAAACTACCACTTTTAAAACCATCAGCTCTCATGAGAATTCACTCAGTATCACAAGAACAGCATGAGGAAAACTGCCCCCATGACCAATCACCTCCCTCCTTCAACACATGGGAATTACAGATCCCTACCTTGACAGGTGGGGATTACAATTTGAGGTGAGATTTAGATGGGGACACTGAGACAAAACGTATCAAAGGATGTCAATCATATTTTTAAAAACAATCCCTTAAGAGTTCAATTAGTGAAGTAAATTGAGTCATATTCAATGCATATTATCAGGATTTTAAAAAATTTTTCTGCAGTTTATTTTCATACTTGTCACAAATACTAATATATTTTTGGAGTACTTTTTTTATTTTTGGAGTACTATTTATGTATTCAGTGATAAAGCCTCCATCATCACTAAGGTAATTTAGGAAATGAAATAATTTTAAAAGTGAGTAAAACAATGAGATTATTAGCAATAAATTATGGCACAGTGCTTCTGACAGTTTTTGTGTGATGAAATGGCTGCATCTGCTGTTTTGGAAATTGTGAAACCTATCGAAAAGTTGAAATAATGAAACTACTAAAATCATACACCCTCTACCTAGATTCACCATTAGTTAATATTTTCCTATTTTTGCTCTGTCTTCACACACACACATACACACACACAGAAACATATGCATACTCTCTTTTTCCCTCTCTCTCTCTCAACTATTAGAAGGTTAAGTGTTGGGGCTGGGAGTGGTGGCTTATGCCTGTAATTTTGGGAGGCCGAGATGGGCGGATTGCCTGAGCTTGGGGGCTCAAGGCCAGCGTGGGCAGCATGGTGTAAAACCCCATCTCTACTAAAAATACGAAAAATTAGCCAGACATGGTGGTGCACACCTGTAGTCCCACCTACTTGGGAGGCTGAAATATGAGAATCACTTGAATCTGGAAGACAGAGGTTGCAGGGGGCTGAGATCGCAACAGTGCACTCCAGCCTGGCTGACTGAGTCTCCAAAAAAAAAAAAAAAAGATAATTAAGTTTTGGATATCATGGCACTTCTTTCCTAAACACTTGAACATGGATTTCTTAAAAATAAGGATTGTCCTTATTATACCTAAGAAATTTGACATTGACTCAATAATATTATCAGTTGTCCATTCTATATTTCCCCCATTCATTCCAAAACTGTGTTTTATAGCTGAATTTTTAAAAAATTTCTGTCTTAATCCAGTATTCAGCCAGGGTTTATGTTTATATTTGCCTTGTTAGTCTCTTTTAGAGATACTGAGAAAAAATGCTTTTGTTGGTATCTTTCTGTGTTGCTTTGCTTTTTTTGCTTTTTAATGACTTTAACTTTTTGAAGGGTCCAGCCAGTTAGCTTTAGAATGTCCCACCCAACGTTGGATTTGTCTGCTTGTTTCTCAGACTTAGATTTACCTGAATTTATCCTGTTAAACATTTTTCACAGTGATGCCACATTTTTGATGTTGTGTAATTCTAATAACACCAAAGCAAAAGGCACCTAATGCCAACATAAAGTTTATGAAATAGGAATTTGTAATTGTCAGCAACAAAGACTGAATTGCTTGAATTATTTTTTTCGTTTTTCAAATAGACGACGACTGAAAGACCTTTCATTCAGAAGCTGTTTCGTCCTGTGGCTGCAGATGGACAGCTGCACACCCTGGGAGATCTCCTCAAAGAAGTTTGTCCTTCTGCTGTTGCTCCTGAAGGTAATGTAATCAGCAACATTAAAACATGTCTTTCATTTTCTGAAGTAAAATAAGCATTCCACATTTATAAATAACAGGTTATTTCAGGAAGATATTTTCGTATCTTGTAGCAAAAAATCTTTTCAAACAGAAGCACTTAATATTTAATATATTATTTTGTAAATTGTTGACTAGCAAAATAACTTGACTGTGGCAAAATAAAATGCAGTTTTTAAATCACCCTCTTAGCACTTCTCTGATACTCTGGTCTTTAACTTAATGAATTCAGTTCTGATAAATACTACTTTTAATCTTGCATTTTGTTTATCAATTTTAAAGAAGTCAGAGATGGTAAAAATAATTTTCTTATTTTTGATATTTGAAAGTTGATAATACTGAATAATGGATATTTTATTTGAATTTTCTACTACTTTCTGCTTGGTTCTTTATTACTTAACCTTGTTCTTTTAAGCTTTGACAATCTATAAGTCCATTCAAAACTTGACCTGTTTCATGACCCTAATTATGTAACTTAGGTTAAGATTGTTTTCCTACAGGCAAGGGAAAAAAAATATTAAAATTGTTGAATTCTGTTTTTCTTTTCTTTTTTTTTTTTTGAGATGGTGTCTCACTCTGTCACCCAGGCTGGAGTGCAGTGGCGCTGTCTCAGCTCACTGCAACCTCTATCTCCTGGGTTTAAGCAATTTGCCTGCCTCGGCCTCCCAAGTAGCTGGGACTACAGATGCCTGCCACCATGTCCAGCTAATTTTTTGTATTTTTAGTAGAGATGGGGTTTCACCATGTTAGCCAGGATGGTCTCAATCTCCTGACCTCATAATCCACCCTCCTTGGCCTCCCAGGGTGTTGGGATTACAGGCGTGAGCCACTGCGTCCAGACTTGGTTTTCTTTATTGCAACATAAAGAACACTAAGAAAGTGCAGAAAACAATAAAACAGTGCCCATAATTCATTCTCTCTCTCTCTCTCTCTCTCTCTCTCTCTCTCACACACACACACACATACACACACACACACACACGTGCCCTTGAATATTTGAGATATACGTATATGTATATACAGTTGGTTCTTCATAACCGTAGGTTCTGCATCGTTCCCACAGCAGATCAAAAATACTTGGGAAAGAAAATGGTTGATTATATCTGTACTGAAAACAAAGACCTTTTTTCTCTTTTTTATTCCCTAAACAATGCAGTATGACAACTATTTATATAGATTTACATTGTATTAAGTATTATAAATAATCTAGAGATTAGTGACTTAAAGTGTGCAGGGGGATGTACACAGGTTCTATGCAAATATTATGTCATTCAATGTAAGAGAATTTTGAGCATCATTGGATTTTGGTATCCTCAGGGATTCTTGAACCAATACTTCATGGATACCAAGTGATCACATTGTGTGTGTGTGTAAAATACCCTGCTACTCTGCTACTCTTGAATTCCAGCACTATTACTCCTTACTAAACTATAGGGGAAATTTTCAGTGGCATATTACTATATTGACATAAAAATAGCATATACTTGTAATATAATAGAAAATTTTTAAAAACTTTAAATCCACGATGGAAAGAGGTGATGCATTAGTATATGTGAAGGTAATACTTTAACAGATAATGCTTGTTTCCTATGAATGTATTCTAAGTTGGAGGAATGTAGGATTACTTGCATGACATATACCACACAGTTCATGTAGCATGTGGCATCTAAGGAAAGTTTGCCTAAGTAGTAGAATTAGAAACAGTCGGTTTAGGGGTAGTGTTGTGGCATTTCTGCCTAAGTGACTAAGCAAAGAGAGCTCCATAATATGGAGCCCAAAATATGTGTCATTCAGCCTGAGAATATTGCGATATTCCTTAGTCAAATATGCTTCCCTATATTAGCATTCCTACATGTATGTAGCGCTTTAAAAATGAAAAGAGGTTCAATAGGAAGGGAGAAGGATATCTAAAATACACTGTCAGAACCAATACCAGAAGGGATTGAAGGAAGAGACCACTGGCCACTACCCAAAATTATTAAAACTGGGCTTAAAGGGTTATAAATACATTATTATAAAGTCTTTCTTGAACTTCACTAGCCTTTATAGTAAGGTTTCTGATGACGTCTTACACACATCCATATATGTCTAGTGCTAGGGTAAATGTTTGCTGAACATTTCAATCACTGAATTCTTTCTTTGTATCATTACCATGAAACATATTATTTATGATCATTAAATCATGGAGTAGTTAAGTTGATTATAGTACTATCTTAGAATCCTAATCCATCTTTACTGCTGTGTAATTTTAGCTTTCAATAAGAATTTTAGTTAAATAATTTTTTTAGATAATTTAATGGTTTTTAGTAAATTTATAGAGTTGTGCAACCATCACCACAGTTTGGTTTTTAGAACATTTCCATCCCCTTGTACTTACTTGTTGCTAATCTCTGCTCCAACTGCCAGCTATAAACAATCACTGTTCTGCTTTCTGTCTCTATAATTTACCTTTTTGAATATTTCTCATGAATTGAATCACACAACATGTAGTCTTTTACAACTGTTTTTTTCCACTTAACATGATGTATTTGAGTTGCATCCATATTGAAGCAAGTTTCCACAGTTTGTTCCTTTAATTGGTGAATAATACTCCATTGGGTAGATATATCACATTTTGGTTCTCCCTGTATCACCTGATGGGCATGTGGACTGTTTCCAGCTTTTCACCTTTATAAACACGGCTACTGGGAACATTCAGATATGGGTCTTTCCGTGGACATGTTTTCATTTTTCTTAGGTAGATTCCTAGGAATGGAATGACTACGTCATATAGTAAGTTTTTTTTTTTTTTTTTAAGAAACTGCTGAACTTTTCCAAAGTAGCTATACCATTTTACAGTCTCACCAGCAATGTGTAAGGATTCCAGTCTTCACATCCTCACTCACATGTATTGCCATTCTAGTGGTATCTCATGATGATTTTAATTTTCATTTTTCTAATGACTATTGGTGTTGAACATGTTTTCATGTGCTTGTTATAATTTGTAGATCTCTTTGATGAAGTGTCTATTTAAATCCTTTTCTTGTTTTTTTCATGGATTGTTTCCTTATTTACTCAGTTGTGAGTGCTATTTATATATTCTGGATACAAGTTCTTTATCAGCTATACAATTTGCAGATATTTTCTCCTAGTCTGTGACTTGCCTTCATTTTCTTTCTCTCTTTTTCTTTTTTTCCCCAGACAGGGTCTCACTCTGTCTGTCGCCCAGGCTAAAGTGCAGTGGCATGATCTTGGCTAACTGCAAGCTTCACTTCCTGGGTTCAAGTGATTCTCATGCCTCAGCCTCCTGAGTAGCTGGGATTACAGGTCCCTGCCACCTGCCTGGCTAATTTTTGTATTTTTAGTAGAGATGGGATTTCACTGTGTTGGCCAGACTGGTCTTGAACTCCTGACTTCAGGTGATCCACCCACCTAGCCTCCCAAAGTGCTGGGATTACAGGCATGAGCCACTGTGCCCAGCCTTGTCTTCATCCTCTTTTGAAAGGTAAAAACATTTAATATTGGTGAATGCCTGTGTATCAAGTTTTTTTTTTTTTAATGGATTGTGTTCAGTTAAATAATTAAAATTTTTTTTCTTGTGGATAATACATTTACATGTTTTAAAAATCAAAGCATATATAAAGGAATTTAGTAAAAATTCTCTTTCCTGACTCCTATTCACCAAACTCTAATCTAAGTTCCCCTTTCTAGAGACAACCAGTGTTACCATTTTCCTGTATATCTTTAGAGATAGTTAAGTAAATTTTATTTTTGAACTCAGGGTATAGATATTTTGACTAAATAACTCATAACTTCTGAGAAATTCCCAGAAATTCAAGAATGAGCTTGCTTTTTTTTAGTTCATTTTCTCTGTGTTGTTTTTTCCACGTTACTATGCTGCCATTTGTTTTTATTCTTTCTTTCTTTTTAACTTTTTGGTTTAGTTTAAAATAGCATTCGGAAATGCTTGGTTTTTCCTATTTTACTTTCACAAATCTTTATTCTGCAATTGGTGTTTAATATCTAATCTGTCTACCTGCTCTTCTCTCTTAATAGTATTTCTGATATGATCTAAGGAACCTGAGCATCTACTGTTTTTATTTTGTTTGTTTTGTTGTTTCTATATATAATTCTGATCACTCTTGTTGAATTTTTTAAATGGTAACTATGAATATCAGACATGTAAATGAAAAGCACTCAAGTGCTTTGAACTGACACACTCTCTCAGAATATATCTTTATGCTCACTTTTGGTCTTACACTTGGGTTTCAAGACAAAATTAATGTCATCCTGCACAAGAAAGGCACACAAATTTGTGAAGCTGTTTGTTCTTTTAAAAGAGACTCTTTGTTCTCTCTTCAATTTCGAGGCTGCTCTATGTGTACATCCTTTTCTGGGGGATACACAGTGTGACTTCCCTTGTGGTGGTGGTTTTTTTTTTTTTTTTTTTTTTTTTTTTTTTTAAGAGGGGAGCAGTGAGGCAGCACAGCCACACAGCCTAATCCACAAACCTTCCTTTTAGGTGATTGCAGGTGCTAGAGGGTGAGTACATCTGTGTGACAAACTTCTCCCCACTCAAACTGTCAGATGCTTCCCTTGACTGTGGAACACACACTTCATTGAAATGACATAGATAATGCCTGTTCTTTTCAGGTATTTTTGATGGTATCTTTCATTCCAGGATTCCTCCACATCTTTAACGCCAGTATCTTTTCTTTAGAAAAACTTTTATCTTTGCCTCTTCCTTTTGGTATTACGTATTTTTTTTAAATTGTCATTTAAAAATCTGTGGAGGGTATCCAAAACATCCAGTCACTCTTTCGGCAGAAAACTGTTTTACTGCCTGGTTCAGTTCACCTGTAGTATTGTCAGACATGTCAAACGTGAAGCATTTGGATACACCTGCACTCAAGTTGAAAGCGAAAGACTTTAAGGTTGGGTGTGTATGGATAAGAACTTGCTGTCATCACATGATGAAAAGGGAA